CATCAACGTCATCAACATCATCATCATCATCATCATCATCATCATCATCATCATCATCATCATCATCATCATCATCATCATCATCATCATCATCGGGACACCGACGGGACACCGGCGGGACACCGCGGGCCACCGGCGCCGGGAAAGGAATCATTTGGTCCGGCCGCGCCTCAGCCAGAGGCGGGACACCGGCGGGACACCGCGGGCCACCGGCCCCAGGAAAGGAATCATTTGGTCCGGCCGCGCCTCAGCCGGCGGAGACTTTCTTCTCGCCCGCCCACGCAGCTTCGCCTCGCCCGCACGCATGGCACGCACGAACACGAAACCGAAACCGATTTCCTGGTAGGGGGGCTCTCCGTTCCACTTCGATCTCACCCCCTCACCTCCGACATTTTGGGGCAATATGTTGGGTCATGCTCGTGAGCCCCGCGAGCAAAACGTATTGTTTTCGACAGGGACGGCGGGGCTAGGGTGCCATCATATGGCCTGCTGTGCGCAAGGCCTCCATCCATGTCAAAGAAACAATACAAAATGCACGCCGCACCTGAATATGATCTTGCACCCCGCGATCACAATCCATTGTTTTTGACAAGGACGGCGGGGGTGCTGGCATATTGCTTGCTATGTGAAGGCGCACCAGACACCATGATGGCCTCCCCGCCGCGATTGCACATTCGTGCTCGACAAGGATGGTGGGGAACGACCTTTTTCCCGATGTGTGCTGTCACGTGCGCGGGCGTACCTGGCACACTCTGCGCGTGCCCCGAGCGTGGCGCACCTGGCGCGGCTGGATCATGTGGCACACATGGCGCACGTGGAGCACGTGGCGCATCTGGCGCGCAAGGCGTGCGTGGCACGCCTGGGCCCCAGGGGTGCCGAGCTCACCTGGCGCGCCTGGCACCCGCGGCGCACACCGCCCCAACGTCGCGCACGTGGGGTCTGTGTTCGTTCCCAGTAGCTGCCCACCCATAGCCGACCGCTGAGCATGCCGAGGCTCAGATGCTACTCATGTGTTGGGAGGGCGAGTGGGAGTGAGCATGGCAGCTTGCGGGCGGGGAGGGTCTTGACCCCTCCCCCGACCCCCTCCCCTGGACCTGGACGGGGGTGGCCGCGTGTCGTTGGAGTGTCGAAGATGACCCAGGATTGCTCCAAGAGGACCTCATGGAGGGCAAGATGGTTTCCAAGATGGCTCAAGATAGCGCAATGTCGCTCAAGATGACCTCCACCCTGCTCCAAAAGGCCCCAAGAGCACCCCAAGACGGCTCCAAGTGGCCACGGAGCACTCCTAGAAGAGCCACCAAGAGGCCACAACCATTGCACAACCTCCGGAAAATCAATGTGTGTTCGCCTTCTCGTCCTTTCGCTTCCGATGGCCCTCCGAGGCCTCACGGTAGCTCCAAGAAGGCCGAAGAGAGCCCCAAGGGGAGCCCAAGAGGGTCCTAAGACGGCCCCGAGAGCGCTCAAGAATGGTCCAAGAGCGTTCCAAGAGGGGTCAAAGGAGCGAGCTGAGAAGCTCCAGAGGGGGGGGCCTAATTAGGGACCCACTTCATTCATCGAGCTCCTCTAAAGATGGCCCCAATGTGGCCCCCAAGGCTCCCAAGAGTGCCCCAAGAGGCGCCCAGGAGGCCCTAAGAGGCATCCAAGAGGTCCGGAAGAGGCTCCCAAGAGACCCCCAAGAGGCCTCAAGAGGCTCCCCCGAAGCACCAATGACGCTCCAAGAAGCCCCCGGGACAGCCAAAAGGCCCCCAAGACGTAGCAAGAGAACTCCAATAATCTCCCGAGAGACATCCGAAGAGACTCCGAGAGGCATCCAAGACGCCTCTGGCCTTCCTCCTCCTCCTCCTCCTCCTCCTCCTCCTCCTCCTCGTCCTCCTCCCCCGCAAAAGTAATGAAACTCGCTCGGGCCCGAAATGGCCCAGAGACGAGCCAAGAGGGGCCCCAGGTTGCCGCTCGGCCGGTCCAGAAAGGGCGAGGTGCCGAACGATCGGACCTCTCCAGGGATGCGTTCGAGGCCAATCCAGCCGCGGCGGCGACGAGGGCAGGGCAGCGGTGCTGGTACTCACTGCCAACAGCTCCAGGAGCGATGGGCGGCGACGTCCGAGCCTTGCCCCCGTCAGCCGTCGATTCTCCTGGATCCTCGGGAGGGCTCCATGTTCGCCACGCGCTCGACGAATCCCGAGCCCTACCGCCGCCTCCCATCAAGTTGCCTGGAATCGTTGATCGACGAGGGTGCGGTTCGGATCTCGCCGCCGAACCGACCCCCCCCCCAAAGGATGGCCCGGGAGGCTGGAGGCGCGCACAAGGGGTGGGGGGGAAGGGAGGAAGGCTTTTCAGAAGCAGGGGTGACTCTTAGAAGCCTTCCCTTCCCCCCTACCCCATACCACCCTCTGCGCGGGGTTGAGGAGGGCCCCCAGAGGGATCCCAGAGGACCCTGAATGAGTAACCGGAAGCAGGCGAGCGCAGAATCGAATCGATAACTCGGATCGGCGATCGAAATCTATCGGATCGGCGGGAATCGGCAGCCGAGTCGGAAAAAAACGAATCGGCGGGAATCGGCAGGCTAGTAGGCCTCCATTGAGAAATCGGAGCCCGAATCGAAATCCCAAGCCGAATCGAATCGGAATCGGAAGCCATCGAAGTCGGATCGAATCGAATCGGAGGAATGGAAACGACCCCTGCTACCCCCCTCGGCGCGTGGCCGAGAAGGGCCCCGCGAAGGATGCCAGAGGTCCCCGAGCGAGCAAGCGGACGGGAAATTCGCACCAGCGGGGGCGCGCAGATGCGGGCCTCCGAGCCCGCCGCGCTCAAGGAGCTGCCGATGCCCCAGGTGGCCACCTGGCACGGCGCGGCCCCGCGAGGCCTCTGCGGGAGGCCGAGCCTGAGGGGCAACGAGAAGGAGAGAACACAGACCTCCTCGCGCTGTGACAAAAAACCTCTGATGCCCCTACCAGGCCCTGGGGCCGTCAACAAGAAGACTCGGGACGAAAAACCAGTCCTGGGGAAGGGGTCCAGACTACTGGGGACTTCGCATCGAAAACAACCACGACCTCGGACCTCTGGGAATGGCACAGGGTGGAAACGTCGGCCTCGCGCCCACGATGCGGCAAGTTCGCGCCGTGCTGACATCGGCGTTGGTTCCTGACACAGCGGGGATCGCTCAACCGTGAACGATCGGCGGCTCCTCTATCGCCAGATCACTCCATATTGGCCGGCTCTGGGCCACGGCGGGCGGCGTTCCACCTTACACGCCCGCGTTGGGCTCGCCGCCGATCGACGCGACGCGCGCCTGCCGCACGTCGCCGACAGATCGGCGACAGGCCCTCGATGATCGGGGGCGCGCCAGGCTCAAGGCGCAAAGTCCTGCCAGGGTGGCCCGCGAGGGGCAGGACTCTGCGTGAAACCGTGTGAAACCCTCAGAGGTCGAAGTGCGCCTTCGCTGCCCAGCAAGCAGGAAGCTTTGCCAGGTCTCCTCGCTGCCGGCGAGAGACCGCCACTCCTCCAGCCCCCGTTCTCAGCAAAAGCGCCGGATCGGGGGCGCGCAAACATGGATTAGCGATCCATGGACTTGGCGCGCCGTCGCCACACCCATGGATCGGGGGAGGCGCCCTCCCAAAAACATGATGGACCCACGAACCCGGAAAGGGATATAGACATGTGCAGCATGGTCACGTTTTCACGATATCCAACTGGGCGACACCTCACGAAACATCCCACGAGACACCCCGCGAAACATCCCAGGAGACACCTCACGAAACAACCCACGAGACACCTCACGAAACATTCCACGAGACACCCCGTGAAACATTCCACGAGACACCCCACGAACAGGCAACCACTCAACCAGACACCCCACGAAACATTCCACGGGGGTGCGACTGGGTGTGGTCGTGCTGGGGTGTGGTCGTGCTGGAGTATGGTCGTGTTGGGGTGTGGTCGTGCTGGGGTGTGGTCGTGCTGGGGTGTGGTCGTGCTGGGGTGTGGTCGTGCTGGGGGGTGGTCGTGCTGGGGGGTGGTCGTGCTGGGGCGTGGTCGTGCTGGGGCGTGGTCGTGCTGGGGCGTGGTCGTGCTGGGGTGTGGTCGTGCTGTGGTGAGGTCGTGCTGGGGTGTGGTCGTGCTGGGGTGTGGTCTTGCTGGGGTGGGTCGTGCTGGGGTCGGGTCGTGCTGGGGTGTGGTCGTGCTGGGGTGTGGTCGTGCTGGGGTGGGGTCGTGCTGTGGTGGGGTCGTGCTGGGGTGTGGTCGTGCTGGGGTGTGGTCGTGCTGGGGTGTGGTCGTGCTAGGGTGGGGTCGTGCTGGGGTGGGGTCGTGCGTGCTGGGGTGTGGTCGTGCTGGGGTGTGGTCGTGCTGGGGCGTGGTCGTGCTGGGGTGGGGTCGTGCTGGGGTGGGGTCGTGCTGGGGTGTCGTGCTGGGTCCGCACCCTGTGATTTATCGATCGGGTCGTGCTGGGGTGTGGTCGTGCTGCTGGGGTGTGGTCGTGCTGGGGTGTGGTCGTGCTGGGGTGTGGTCGTGCTGGGGTGTGGTCGTGCTGGGGCATGGTCGTGCTGGGGCGTGGTCGTGCTGGGGTGTGGTCGTGATGAGGTGGCCCGCACCCTGTGATTTATCGATCGGGATTTCAAAAACAAGCGTTTCGCCTGAGACATCCTCAAATTTTAATCCGCCGGCCTCCTTCGACCTCGATATTTATCAAGGAAAGAATCCGCCGGCCTCCTTCAAGTTGGGCACCGGGGACATGTTTACATAGAAAAAGAAAACCCTGGGCCCGCGCCCTTTCCGGGAAAAAACGGCCCGTGCCGCCCCGCTCGGCGGCGGAAGTCCGCGATTGCCCACGGAGGCGGGGCCCGTGCCCTGATCGATGGGCGAGTCCGCCGGCTCCTGGGCGGGGCGGGCCGTCGGGCCCCGCTCGGCGACGGCCGGGCGACCCCCCGGGCGCGCTTCCCCCCCGAACCCGTCCCCCCCAAACGTTGCGGATGCCACGACGGTGGGCACCCGAAGAGTCCCATCATGGAACTTGCGTGTGCTTAAAAGATGCCTGACAAATGCCCCAGAAAGGCTAAAACATGTGTTTTCTGTGTTTAGGACAGGCTAAGACATGTTCTATGCCTCTGGGAACTATTTGGCAACATGCTCCCTCTCCATTGGTCGTCGCCCGCACCCCTAAGGTTATGACGAGAGACCTTCCACAAGAAGCCCAACCACGAGACCCCACGACCTCCCTTGATTTTTGGTTCGGGAACGTCACGCTTTCCATAGCAACACCATCGAAACCCAAGAAAAAACCAGGGCACCCTGGAGGCGCAGGATGTTTCTTGGCATGGGTCTCCACTGTAGCACATTTTTGCCTGCTGGAGGGAAGGCCTAATTGTAAGGACCCCCCCTTCCTTGATCGACGACCTCGAAGATGGCCCCGAGGCGGCCCGAAGAGCTCCCCAGAGAGCCCTAAGAGGGTCCCATAAGGCCCCCAAGTGGCTCCCTAGCGGCCCTCAAGAGGCCCAAAAGGCCCCTAAGAGGCCCCACCGAGGATCCCAAGAGGCCCCCAAGAGGACCCCACGAGGCCCCAAAGAGGCCCCACGACGCCCCACGAGGCCACCAAGAGCCACCAAGAGTCTCCGAAGTCGCAACAAGAGGCCTCCAAGAGACCCCCAAGGGACATCCCACGAGACTCCGAGAGGCATCCAAGAGGCCTCTGTCCCACAGAGGCTCCCCAAGCTCTCCAAATAATGCCACGCTCCCCCGATAAAGGGCAACTCCCCTGCGCAACCTCCTGGGCCCCACTGGCCGATCTACCCCCCTAGATGGGGATATGGGTCGTCCCTTCGGGTTTCGAGGGGGTTCGAGGGGTGTATCCCCAACTGGGGTGGAAATTTGGTGGGGGTCTCGGAGGGCATGGGGATGGGGATGGGGATGGGGATTGGTTAAACGATACCGATCCAAAGAGCCCGCGAACGTGGCGACAGTTGCGCGGTTCGAAGCCACCCAGGGAGCAGCGAGGTACCCCAGCGAGGTACCCCATGGGCCTGCGTGGTCCCCCACTCCGCTGGACATCCCAGGAGCCCACGAGAGTGGCGACGGTTGCGCAGTTCGCAGCCACCCAGGGAGCAGCGAGGTCCCGCTGCACAGTTAGCAGCCACCCAGGTAGCAGCGAGGTACCCAAGGGTCTGAATGTATCTTCACTCCGATGAACCTCCCAGGAGCCGACGGAAGTTGCGACGGTTGCGCAGTTCGCAGCCACCCAGGGAGCAGCGAGGTACCCCAGGGGTCTGCGTGTGACTGAACTCTGCTGGACCTCCGAGGAGCCCACGAAAAAGGCGACAGTTGCGCAGTTCGCAGACCCCCAGGGAGCCGCGAGGTAGACAATGAGTCCGCACGAAACTCCACTCCGCTGGACCTCCAAGGAGCCCACGAAAGTGACGCCAGCTGCGCGGTTCGCAGCCACCCAGGGACCAATTAGGTCCCCAATTAATCTGCGTGGTACCGTTGGACCTTCCAGGAGTCCGCGAAAAAAAAGGCGACAATTGCGCAGTTTGCAGAAACCGAGCAGCGAGGTCCCACATGGGTCCGCGTGTAACTTCACTCCGCTGGAACTCCGAGGAGCCCACGAAAGTGGTGACAATTGCGCAATTCGCAGCCTCCCATGGAGCAGATATGTCCCCAATGGGTCTGCGTGTATGCCCACTCTGCTGGACCTCCCAGGAGCCCACCAGAGTGGCGACAGTTGCACAGTTCGCAGCCACCCAGGGAGCAGCGAGGTCCCCAATGGGTTTGCGTGCAACTCCACCCCACTGGACCTCCCAGGAGCCCACGAAAGTTGCGGCAGTTGCGCAGTTCGCAAATTCCCAGGGAGCAGCGCAGGAGGAGGCAGGAGGAAGAAGGAAGCAGAAGGAGGGAAAGGATAGAAATGGAGACCATAGTGCTCTCTTGAAAACGAAGATCTCAACACAGGAGGGTTAGGGAACATAACAGTGTCTCGTCCGGGTCGCTGGCTGTCACCTGGCGGCCTCGACGGCGTCTACCACGAAGAGGACGACGACGACGACGACGACGACGACGACGACAGCGGCGGCGGCGACGACGACGACGCCCTGGGAATATGTTGTTTAATCGTCCACTTCCCCGCGGAGTGCTGCGACCAACCTCCGGGCATTTCTCATCGCATGATCGCGTCACCCTTGGCTGCACCCTCGAAAAGAGTCACTGCACCGACCTTGCAGACGTGCTGCAGCGGATTCTTGCCCGGATTTCGTCAATACAAAACCCCGAAACGGCGAGGGAAAAACGAAGAGAATTTCGCGTGGGTTTTTGTTTAGTCTTTATTCCTGGCCAAAAACATGATGGACCCACGAACCCGGAAAGGGATATAGACATGTGGAGCATGGGCACGTTTTCACGATACCCAACGGGGCAACACCTCACGAAACATCCCACGAGACACCTCACGAAACATCCCACGAGACACCTCACGAAACATTCCGCGAGACACCTCACGAAACATTCCACGAGAGACACCCCGCGAAACATTCCACGAGACACCCCACGAAACATTCCACGACGACAGGCAACCACTCAACCAAGGCGGTGTGGTCGTGCTGGGGAGTGGTCGTGCTGGGGTGTGGTCGTGCTGGGGGGTGGTCGTGCTGGGGTGTGGTCGTGCTGGGGGGTGGTGCTGGGGTGGTCGTGCTGGGGGTGGTCGTGCTGGGGCGTGGTCGTGGGGCTGTGGGCGTGCGTGCTGGGGCGTGGTCGTGCTGGGGGGTGGTGGTGCTGGGGGGGTGGTCGTGCTGGGAGGTGGTCGTGCTGGGGAGTGGTCGTGCTGGGGCGTGGTCGTGCTGGGGCGTGATCGTGCTGGGGTGTGGTCGTGCTGTGGTGAGGTCGTGCTGGGGTGTGGTCGTGCTGGGGTGTGGTCTTGCTGGGGTGGGGCCGTGCTGGGGTGGGGTCGTGCTGGGGTGGGGTCCTGCTGGGGTGTGGTCGTGCTGGGGTGTGGTCGTGCTGGGGTGGGGTCGTGCTGGAGTGGGGTCGTGCTGGGGTGTGGTCGTGCTGGGGTGTGGTCGTGCTGGGGTGGGGTCGTGCTGGGGTGGGGTCGTGCTGGGGTGTGGTCGTGCTGGGGAGTGGTCGTGCTGGGGTGTGGTCGTGCTGGGGGGTGGTCGTGCTGGGGGGTGGTCGTGCTGGGGGGGTGGTCGTGCTGGGGGGGGGGTCGTGCTGGGAGGTGGTCGTGCTGGGGAGTGGTCGTGCTGGGGCGTGGTCGTGCTGGGGCGTGATCGTGCTGGGGAGTGGTCGTGCTGTGGTGAGGTCGTGCTGGAGTGTGGTCGTGCTGGGGTGTGGTCGTGTGGTGAGGTCGGGATTTCAAAAACAAGCGTTTCGCTCGAGACATCCTCAAATTTTAATTCGCCGGCCTCAAAAACAAGCGTTTCGCTCGAGACATCCTCAAATTTTAATTCTCGGGCTCGTTATTTATCAGGGAAAAATTCGCCGGCCTCCTTCGACCTCGTTATTTATCAGGGAAAAAATTCGCCGGCCTCCTTCAAGCAGGCACCGGGGGACTAGGTTTACCTACTAAAAGAGAACCCTGGGCCGGAGCCCTTTCCGGGAAAATCCGCACTGAATTCACCTCGAAATCCGGAACGAAATTCTCAAGGAGAATCGGGGCCCATCACATGGTTTTCCGGCCAAAATCCGCTCTGCGATGTTGGCACCACGAGAAAAGAGAGCGGACAAGGCCGGGAGAGCGGCACCGGCGCGCGACCCGCTGCAGGGCCCAGAGGGGGAGGGCCCCACCGCGGCGAACACGACGAAGGCGGTGGACGCCGCCTGGCTTGTGGATCGCGGACCTCCTCCTCCTCCTCCTCCTCCTCCTCCTCCTCCTCCTCCTCCTCCTCCTCGTCGTCCCTCGTCCTCGTCCACGTCTCTCCTCGTCCTCGTCTCTCCTCCTCCTCCTCCCTTCCTCCTCCTCCTCCTCCTCCTCCTCCTCCTCCTCCTCCTCTCCTCCTCCTCCTCCTCCTCTCCTCCTCCTCCTCCTCCTCCTCCTCATCGTCCCTCGTCCTCGTCCACGTCCCTCCTCGTCCTCGTCTCTCCTCGTCTCTCCTCCTCCTCCTCCTCCTTCTCCTCCTCCTCTTCCTCCTCCTCCTCCTCCTCCTCCTCGTCTTCGTCCCTCGGAGTCCCTCCTCCTCGTCCCTCCTCCTCCTCCTCCTCATCCTCCTCATCCTCCTCATCCTCCTCCTCCTCCTCCTCCTCCTCCTCCTCCTCCTCCTCACTCCGCACTTCGCACTCCATGAGCCTCCGAGCGTGTCAACGGGCCGTGGGCGTGGTGGCACCCCGAGGGGGCGGAGGGGCCAAGTCGGGCCCGCGCGTGGCGGAGGGCACTCCTCGGGGCGGCCCCCCGAAACTCGGGAAAGGGGCGGCACTGAAGGAGGAGGAGGAGGAGCCCTCCGCGCAGCGACCCCAGAGGCTCAGAAACTGGCGATCGCCCACCAGCTGAGACCCATGATCCTCAGAACGCGTGTTTGCGCCAGCGCGTGCGTGTACTATGGAAACCGCGGTGACGCTGTCTTACCCCGGCGCCGCAAGCACGGAGGTCAACCCACCAAGCGGCTCGGGGCCGCATTCTCATCCGTCAGGACTCGTCGCAAAGTCTGCGGCAAAACAACATGCGAGACAAGCGTAAGGTCGAACTCGTCGGCGCAGCAGCCGTGCCCAGGCGTCTCTACAACCTGAGCACGGCGTGCCCCAGACGCGGCGGAGAGGTGCCGCATCGACGGTGCGCACAGCAGGATGCCGAGAGTGCGGTGCAAAATGAAACACCAAACGACATCGCACGTGAGCAACGAAAGGAAACGGAATTACGCGAGATGGCATGGCGACCTTACGCGGCGGCTGATGCGAGCCGCCAGGGCGGCACGCCACATTGCACAAGACAGCGCTTCCGCGCGACCTTACGCGGGCAGCTTACGCGCCAAAGTCGGTGAAGACGGCCGCGTTTTCTGCGTCGCTCATGTGTCAAACGGGACAATCCGTCTACGGACGGGCCCATAACCACTCACAAGAGATGTCTTACACAAAATAGCGAACGACCAAACAAAGGACTCCGTGTTCACACCCGGCACGTGGCAACACACGACAGACCGAAACGTTCGGCTGTGTGGGCGCCAATATTGGAATGGGCGTCCGTACGTCGATCAAGTCGCAAGGCAAGGTCGTAGATGGAAATCTCGTTCAAGACGAGCACACTTGGAGGGGAGCCGAGGCGCGTTGAGAGCAGGACTCGGAGCCTGCATCGTGGATCTGGTCTCAAAGACAGCAAGTGACTTGGCTTGTAAGTTTCGTCGTCCGTGTAAGAATTGCTCCAAACTGCAGCGCCGACGCGAGTGTAACATGTGTATCTGGAGTCGGAGTGACGATCGCACGATCACGCTTGAAGAGAACACGTGAGTACGGCCAGCGCGCCCTAACGGGCCGGCGTCCGCGCGACCCGTCTCCTCCTCCTCCTCCTCCTCCTCCTCCTCGAACTCCTCCAACTCCTCCTTCCCCCCGTCGGAGATCGATGTTCCTGGCGGGGCGACGGGCCGCTGGAGGCGGCCGCCCGCATCCCCCGTTCGCATGTCGGCGGTCGTCCCCCAATGTCTCGTTCGTCACGCACTCCCTCGCTCGCTCTGCCTCGCCTCGCTTCCTCGCCAGGCGTGGGTTCCCGTCACCCTCCGCGCGTCCTTCGCCACCTCCTAAGATTGCCACGATTGGTATACCGATTGCCCATCGGTCGGAAGAAGTAGGTAGAATCATGAAGTGGGAAGGCGGATCGAGTAGATTGGGTTCGGGCCCGCCCAGAGAGCAACAACAAGAAGCAAAAGCAGATCGGTTCTTGAAGTAAGAAGGCGCTTGAAGTAGGTTGGGCTCTGGGAATCCAAAAATATTTACTTACAACGACCGACGGGTACCATCCGTCTCCTTATTTCTGTATGCTTCTTCTTATTCGAAGATGGGCGAACGAGGTCGGACGTAAGGGACACGCGAATTAACTTGTAGTGTAACGCCTGCTGACGCGCCGTTGGGATTAAGGCCACTTGACTTGAGGTATTCCGTCCTCCTCCTCCTCCTCTGGCCTCCCTCGCCCTCGTGTTCCTCCCCCTCCTCCTCCTCCTCCTCCTCCTCCTCCTCCTCCTCCTCCTCCTCCTCCTCCCTGCCCTCCTCCTTCCGTGCCCTCCTCTTCTCCCCTGCTGATGCTGCTCCTGGACCCCCCACCCGAACCTGACCGCAACGCGTGAACAGGCTCTTGCGCCTTCGAAGGCATCCCAGACTTGCGTGTTCGCTCTGGGGATCTTCCCGGAGAACCTCGCTCGACTCGTGCGTCGATGCTGCGTCGAACGTCCGCCGACCTGCGTCGAACGTTGAGTCGACCTCGAGTCGAATTGTATTGAAATTCGAGTTGGGCAAACCCTCAAGCGAACATCTAGCTGGACTTTCCCACGGCCTCCCCCGAAACAGAACTGCACCCTTTCCCGGGGACCAGCTGCTCATCCCTATTGGTTTGCTTGACCGCGGCGGGAGGTTTGGCCAAGGGTTAGGTCGGGCCTGCCACCCTACAGAGGGATTTTGGACGAAAAAAAAAATCCCCTAAAAATGCAAAATACTCACCAGACTACTGTGTGACTATGTTTGAATATTTCCCCTGTAGAGGGACAGGCCCGACTTAAGCCAAGGGCCCCCGCTGGCCCAAAAAACACTGGCAACAAAAACCTTCCGTCGCGACTGCCTCGCAACACGAGGATCGGCGGCGTGCGGACGAGGAGACTGCTCTACGGCAACTCTCGGGAGCCTCTCATACAATCTTGCTGGCTCTTGCGAATCGACGCTGATCGACGCTAAATCGACGCTAGTCGACGCTAATTCGGCGCTATCTCATCTATTTCTGAATGCCAATCGGCGGCTGCGCACTCTGATGACAGAGTTGCGAGGGCATACAAGGCTCCCATAACTTTAGAGAGCAGAATATCCACCCTCATACGAATCACCCCAACGCGCGAAGTCGTTTAGCAAACGCACCCAGGGAAGGAACCGAACAGGGCAGGGCTGTCTAGTGAACGCAGGGAGCCCTTAGCACACGCTAAGGATGGGGTCCGGGTGTATTTTCCTCCCTCGAAATGGGGACACCGAAAGGTATCGATACCGCTACTCCCTGGGCCTCTCCCGGGGTGCGTTCTGACCAGGATTTCGAGGCGAATCCAGCGGTGGCGACGAGAGCCTCCCAGGAGGCCCAAAAAGGGGAAAACGAGGGAAGGGTCGAGGTATGGGTACCATTTTCCCTCTGATGAAATTTGACACCGAAGAACGAACAGTGGGCAGGGGGTTCTCAGAATCCCTCGGGCCTTCTGAGGAGCCCTCTGTCGGGGGCGGCCAAGAGGGGGGCGTCCAACAGGGGGGGGCGCAAATGATGGCCAGCTGCATGTGCGCGGCCCAGGGAGGAGGCCAGGGACGTAATGAAATAAGAAGAAGCGCCATGAAATCTGGGGAGATATCATGCCCCCCGCCATGATATTCACTCCCCCCCTAGTCTTAGGTCGGGCCTGTCCCCCTACAGGGGGATTTTGGACGATAATTACAAATTCCCAACAAATACTCCAAAAATGCTCGAAAATACTTTAAAAAATAGTCCCCTGACTATTTTTGACTATTTTTGAATATTCCTCCTGTAGAGGGGCAGGCCCGACTTCACCCTAGTTATCACCCCCCTCTTGGCCGCCCCCGATTCTGGCTTCTGCTGAAGGCTCAGCAGGCCTCCCAGACCCCGGCGCCATGACTTGTTCACGACGTCGACCCCCAGAGGTTTCGGCACCCTGCGGGCGAGATTTGTATCCAAACCCACTGCGTCTTGGAGCCTCGGGCTCCCTTCCTCCGACACAAGAGGCGCCGCGGATGTGGATGAAACAATTTCGTCCCTGGAGGTCAGATGCTCTTCAATATCCACTGCGCCGCGGCCTGTTGGCGCCCCTTCCCAGAAAGTCCAAGACGCAGTAGATGTGGATAGAAATCGTGCCCGCACAACCGTTTCCCGAGGAACGGTTTTTCATCCTGAGTCGTTTTGTTGACGGTCCCGAGGTCCCAGAGCCCGAAAATGACAACAAAATAAGCCACCCGCCGTGATGTTTTCATGACTCGAGGGGGTCTGGGCTCTCAGAAGGCCAGCAGCCTCCTAAGCCCCCTGGCCTTCGGATAAGCTGTCTCTGCCTTCGCGGAGACAGCCTCGAAAGCTTCTGAAGGCTGGAGTTCGGTCCGGCATGTCCTCCTACAGCTGGATTTGGACGAAAATCACAAAATAGTTATACTTTGTACTATGTTAAAAGATAAAGAGACAAGTCCCCAGACTACTTTACTACTTCTACATTTTTCCTCCCGTAGAAAGGACATGCCCGACTTCAGACAGGAGGCCTTTCGAGCTTCCTGGAGAGGCCTCCCTGGCTTTTGCGGAAGGTTCGGCAAGCCTCCCTCAGAAGGCTGCAAGCCGCCTGAGCCCTCCGGCTTTCAGAGAAGCCGTCTCAAGAGGCCAACTTCGGAAGCTGGGCGAGGGCGGGCAAATCCGTGGCTGCTAAATCGGTCTTACCAAAAGAAAAAAACAAATTCCCGGAATAAAACTCAGCGCGCTAAATACAGAAAGGCTTTATTGGCGAGGACACGCGAGAGGACACAAGAGCCTTCCGAGGGCTACGTTGCCACCGGAACGCAAAGGGCACGGGTCTCGAAAGACAGGACACAAGGGTACCTAGACTTGACAAGGTCGATCTACTAATCAAGGCCGACCGTAGTAAACGGGCTGATTCCTGAAGGCAAAAACAATTTCCCGGAGTTCCGTTTTAGCAGCCACGGGTTTGCCAGCCTTCGCCTGGCTTCTGAGAATAGATGGGGTCGGAGGATTGCGCCGCATCGCCGATGCAACGCCGGTGGGTGCATCGGGGCCGTCCGTGTGGAGAAGTTCGGGCTCCGCATCGAGCCGCATCGGCGATGCATCGGCGATGAGGCGCGATCCTCCGACCCCATCTACACTCGGACCCCATCTGGGGGGCATAGAGTCTCTGCCTTCGCGGAGACAGCTTCGAAAGCTTCTGAAGGCTGGGGGCCGCTCGAGCATTCTGAGGAAGCCCGCGCCGTCTGCCTAGTCCCCCTCGGCGCGCCTTCCGCGAGGCTCTCGGGAGGGTTCCTGTCCGTGCCCCCTCCCGCGGGGGCGTCCAACGAGGGGGGCGTCCAAGAGGGGGGGGAGGGGCGTCCAAGACGGGGGGAATCCAAGAAGGGCGCCCCCTCCCTCGGGGGGGTTCAAGAGGGAGGCCCCCTCCCTCGGGGGTGTCCACGAGAGGGTTCATTTCCTTGCCCCCTCCCTCGGGGCGTCCAAGAGGGGAGCCCCCTCCTTCTGGGGCGTCCAAGAGGGGAGCGTCCAAGATGGGGGGGGGGGCGGGGGGGGCAAATCGTGGCCGGCGGCACGTGCGCGGCCGAGGGGGGGCCGGGGACGCACTGAAATAGGCAGAGGCGCCATGAAGCCTGGGGAGACAGCATGGCCCCCGCCGTGATCCCCAGCCCCAACCCCAACCTGGGCATCACCCTCCTCTTGGCCGCCCCCGACTCCCTTCCCCCCGTGACTGAGCCCCGGAGACCGAAAAGCCGCCGAGGCGGCGGCGGGCGCCGGCCGCGCGCGCAAGGACCGCTTGGGACGCAGCCGGCGGCCACGGCGAGCGCGAAGTGGTTGCGCCACGGGCCTCGCTCGCGGCGGCACGCGGCGGCGAGGGCGGCGGCGCCGACGACCCAGGGCATCGGTCAACCGATCCCCATCCCCACTGGCCTGGCATAGGCCCCACCGGCCGACCTACCCGCCCACCTCGCGTCTTCGAAAGCGTTCGCGGGCTCGACTCGGTCGCCACTGTGGTGGCAACGGTTGGGCTCCCTTTTGGAATAACACGGCCAGGCGGCGGTGCCCGACGAGAGCACCATTTGCGCATGGATATGCTCAGGTCGACCTGAACGGGCTTCCCCTGCCAACAGCCAGCGGATGGTTTCCAGGTCCGATCTGCAGATTCTCAAGCCGATGTAAGCATGCTGAGTTGCCCCCCCCCAAGAGGCCCCCGAGACGGTCCAAGAAGGCCCCGAGTAGGTCCAGGAGCGCAGAAGGCCCCCACCCCAAGAGGCCCCAAAAGAGCTTCAAGAGGCTCCAGACCCCCCAAAGAAGGCCCCAAGAGCCCCAAATCAGCGATTCCCAAATAGGTGTTGGAAGGGGTTGGACGTGGTCGCCCTTTCGGGATCCCGACCGATCAAGACAGCCTAAGAGGCCCCCGAGATCGCCCCAACACGGCCCAAGACGCCACCAAGGAGGCCCCCAGACGGCCCATGAGGGCCTCAAGATGGACCAAACGATGCCACCAAGACGTCCCAAGACGGCCCCAAAAAAGGCCCCAAAGGAGGGAATGCGAACCGACATTTCCAGCCATCCGCCCCAAGAAACCTTCGAGACCTCCAGCAGGCCCCCAAGAGTCCTTCAGAAGCTCCAGGAGGCCCCCAAGACGCCAGATCGAGTCCCAGAGACCTCCACGAGGCCCCCGAGAGGCCACTAAAACACACCCCAGAATTGCCTCCACGAGGCTTCCGAGAGGACTCTCAAGAGACCCCCACCGGCATCAAAGAGGCTTCTGGCCCACAGCCAAGGAATGGTGGCGGGATAGGCCGAAGGCCAGCGGATCCGCCGTCCCCTGCTGGCTTGCCACAGGGGCGCCGGCGGTGATTCGCCGTAGGCGTCTTTGATGGGGGCTCCGGCAACGTTTTCCGAAACATCCCTTTGGCGATTGTCCGCCAATTTGCCCTGAGGCACGATAGGCGCGCCCACGCGCACAAAAGGCCACTGGTGGTCAAATGTGTGGCGGGGCTTCATCTCCGCCACGCGCTCCCATGTTGCACCTGTCCCAGACTCGTCCTGCACGGGGCTGGCAGCGGTGCGCTGCTCTTATCTGGCAGTTTGCGCAGCGCGCGCGAGCTAGTCAAGATTGGACCGGCGACGGCGCACCGCGCGATCCAGGCGCGCGTCGCGCGCCAAGTCCGCAGGGCGCGCCAGGCGCGCCATGCGCGACGCCCCAAACGCCCCCACAACCGCCTCCATGAGGCGCCCGAGAGGTCACCCAACCGATCCTCACAGGCACCCAAAGGACCTCCGACCGATAACCCACGCACGGTAGCGGGATGGGCCGAAGACCATTAGATCCGGCACCATTTGTGGTCATGCCACAGGAGGGCCTGGCGTGCTGGATCCTACTGGTTTGGTTTTGGCTCTCTTGTAAAAGAACTCTCCCTGGGGCTCTGGCCCAGCGCGCCGGCCACCCGGAACAGCCCGCCCGCTTCGCCACCAACGTCTCCAAAAACGGCCGTCTCGCCAGGGACATCCTCAACGAATCTGGATTCGATCCCTTCGGGTAAGAATGAGCGTTTCGCACGCGACATCCTCGCGATGATGAAATCGATGGCCTCATCTTCGGATCTTCCAGAATGATCATTGCTCATGTCGTTGCAGACATCCTCAATAATGCAATATTGCAAAATGGTGGATCGAAGAGAATCCAAGATGCCTCGAAATCCACCCAAGAAACCTCCAAGACGGCCCAAGACGGCCTCAAGATGGTCCAAGTCCAAGATGGCCAAAGACGGCCCAAGAGGCTCCCAAGAGGTCTCCAAGACGGCCAACGACGCCAAAACCATAGATTTGTCGGAGGCGTTTGAAGGATTTGGGCAGTTGCTTCTTCTCGACCTTTCGACGGCCCGAGACGGCCCAAGAGCCCGCAAAGAGCCCAAAGATCGCCCAAGAGGCCCCCAGGATGGCCCCAGAACGGCCCAAGAGGCCCCCAAGACGGCCCCAAGAGGGCCACAATACGGCCCAAGAGGCCTCCATGACGCCCAAGATGGCCTCCAAGACGGCCCTGGAGCACCCCCAGAGGGCCCCAAGTCGGCCCAGAAAGGCCCCGAAGACGGCTTCCGACGGCGTCAGACGGGCCAGGAATGCCATGCCCTAAGACGGCCAAAGAGGCCCCCGAGAAGCCCCCAAAGGCCCCGGCCCAAGGAGGCCCCCAAGATGCCTCCAAGAGGCTCCCAGGAAGCTCCCAGGAGGCCCCAAGAGTGCCCCCAGAGGCTCCCAAGATGGCTCCTCCTCCTCCTCCTCCTCCTCCTCCTCCTCCTCCTCCTCCTCCTCCTGATCTTCCCCGCCATCCTCCCCCAATTGTTCCCCGAAGGGTTTCCGCAACGGTTGGGGGAACACATGGTCCGATAGCTTGGCAGAGCTCTTGCCACAACGCTCGGCCACATGGGCGATTCCAAAGGCAGTGGGCGGCGGTGATTCGCAGTAGGCGTCTTCGACCCGCCGCCCCCTGTGGTCTTACCCCTGGGGTGCCTGGCGTGCTAGATCCCACTGGCTTGGTTTTGGCCCCTCTGTTGCTCCTGAACTTTCCCTGGGGCTCCGGCGACTGCATGAGATAATACACTCTGGTGACAGGCCTCGGATCTC